CACTGGTGGGCTCCGGTCTCTTTTGAGAGGAGAAATGCTCAGAACTTCCACCTGAAAAACAGAAACATTCATGTGCCACATCTTCCTAATTCACTGTGTTTTTGTACTGAATGACTCTGTAAAAAACCTGACCTTCATCCATCTCACTGCCTCCTCCTTTTTCATTTCTCTGGGGGACACGGAGTAGCTGCTATGTCAAATATTAGCCATCTGGAGTCACAAAAAACTTCAAACACAAACAGTATTGTTGACAAATATGACAAAAAACAAAGATGCAACAACAACGTGCAAAGGAGCAATCTTAACTTCTCCAAGTGTCACTATGTCATCCTAGAAATGAAATTACTCTTCTTTTAGTTAAGATAATTAAAACAATGCAGCACAACCATTCAAAGGTGCCATTTGTGTAAACATGCACTGGACAAATGTAACAGTTTTTAATTTAGAATCTGGGTCGTGGTGATAAAACCACAAATCTCTGAGATGTCCTTTTTTCATGTGTTGTGAGTCTAGTTCTTGCTGTAATAAAAGAGCTCACTATAGAGTGAGTGTACATGATCAAAGTGTTATCTGTTGTATAGACTACTGGAGCACTGAACTAGGCCAATCGTGTTTTTCTTTGGCTGTAACATGCCACCCAGTTCATTTTTTACCATTAGGAACCCAAGCTAACAGGTTAACGTCACTCTCTAATATTAGTCAATGTCGCATACATAACTTGCAGTTGCATAGCAGTTTTATCAAAAATGCAGCTTATTCATGAGGCAGTATACCAACAGCTGTACTAGTGAGCAGGTAACACTTACCACCACTATCAGAACAGCCATTATCACTGCATGCGAGCGCCACGTTATCGTCTGCAATGTAAGAAATAAATATTGAAAGGATACAATTATATTGGACATTTTTTATGAAGAGAGAAGTCTATAACATGACATTACTGTAAAATGTATAACCTAAGCTAATTTCTATTGTCATGAGCTTAACCTCCTATGACCTGAACTCTTTCATGCCATTTTTAATTTCTCTTTGCTATTTGGGCTGATTGGGACCTGATGTAAAAACAAAGAATTATCTGAATTTTTTTACCTCTCTTGTTTCTGAGAGGAGTGAGATCCACATACGAGGGCATTTGTTTTAAATTTCGATAGAACAGTGGCAGTATAATGTCCTTGTAGAGCAAAAATTTAGTATTTTGGTCGAGACAACCCAAAATGTGATGTCCACATATGTGGACACCAGGTCCAAGGAGGTTAAAGTACACAACACTAACAATGCACCATAAAACAACAAGCAGGAGATCATGAATAGAAGACTAATCTTATTTAAACCAGTGCCCATTTAAATTTAAGATTATGCCCAGTCAGGATTCAGTTTGAGGTCCTCTAGCAAGGAATTCTACCATGTTCTCTCCTGAACAGGAAAGCTGTTTCCTCCAAACAGGGATTTAAGTGACATCAGCTTCCAGCTGGAAGCTAACAAACCAAAAACTAAATACGACCATAAGATCACTGAGCATGTGGGAACCTGGTTAATAAGCATTTTTTTTAATTGTTTCAGAAAAATACATTATTAAAATCATCAACCCAAAATTCTTTAAACATACCACTGCTGTGATGCTGACTTTGTCCTATTGCTTGATATATACCATGAGACGGTGTTTGTAAACACGTTATACATGAAATTAAATGTAAAATAAATTCTCAGTGGATCAAACTATCTGTTGCATAAATAAATTGAATATATCCAAATAAATTTGTCATTTGAAAATCTGCTCATCATTCAACCTGCTTAATAACAAAAATTTTCACATGTGAAAAGATATGTTTTTAAAGTTATAAGACTTCACTGAGCTCGTGTATTCCTGCTGTAAGTAAAATAAGATGTTGTGGTATGACCGTGGTATCAGACTGCAGAGGACTGCACAGGTCTGCAATGAGGACACAGGCTGCAAACAAAGTTACGTTCAACAACTTTTTGTCTTTGTCTCCTGTTTCTGTTGTCTGTTTGGGACTGTTTCTCATATCTGGCTTACATCATTTATATTATAAAATGCTGAGTTTCAACCATGTGTTGTCCTTGTGCCATTTTCAGGTAAGGAGGCTTCAAATGATTTTCTGATCAATGCCTATTTTATTTACATTTTATGCAGAACGTGGGGCCGATGTGATGCACATGAGTATTGTTCTAGCAGCAGTTGTTCATATTATAAGCAACAAAGAATCACATTTAGAAAACAATCACGTCTGATCTAAGAATCACCTATTCCCACCTTAACTGATAATGATTCTTAATGCATATTATAGTTTGTAGTATCTGTTGTTTGGTCTGTTGTTTGACACTCCTACGTACGATTCAGTAACGATTAAAGACTACATGTTCAATATTCGATAAGAAGGCACATACCTGTATTTGGCTTGCTGCCGTGGCTTCCTTCACCTAATACCAAAGACAAAAGTCAAAGTTACTTCTCAGTTACAGTTAAATAATCCAGTTACAGTCAATAATGACTTGGAGGTGATACAGTAAAAGTGCACCAACAGTTTTGATGCAGCCCATTACCCATTCATTTACAGTAGCTCACCTCAATAAATATACAGGTGTCTTAGCAGTGAGCGCTCATGCAGGTGAACCTGCTGTAAAAATTGTGACCTACAACTCTATCAAATTTAAAGTAAAACAAAAAAAAAAACATGGAGCATCACAACGTTTCACCCGTTTTAGATATAGTAGTATTAGGCATTTAAAAAACAGAGTGTCATATAGGAAAGCTTATATGCCTTCTGATGGCTACACTGTTAGAGTGACATCATTTCCTTTTTTAACATACTTTTATTAATTACTCTCTGTACATAAAGCAATATTAGGACAGCATGTTATTGTTTCCTCCAAGGTGAGTCTTATTATAACACTAAAACATAGCAGCCAAAGAGACAACACATAAACACACTTTCAATTGTTGGAAGGCACAATTATAACACACTATACAAAAGGCTTATATTTTGTATTAGCATGTACATTATTTGCTTTGAATAGCCAAATTAATACTACATGACAGCCTTGATGTTCCACAGAAAAACACTATCTGAAGCCCACTTCAGCAACAGAACACCAGGCCTTCTGTCCAGTTATGTTTGACGGTGAAAAACAAATGAGAGGAATAAGACAAACGAGGCTAAACGGAGCACGCTGCTCAGCTGGGTCATGCTGATGTGCGGCTACGTCAGTAAATATACTGGACGGACAGACGCTGCTCAGTCACTGAAACATCGACACCAACATAAAACTCCATGTTGGCGTAAACACGTGGGAACGTTTATATTTGATGGATAAAGGAGGACAATGATTTCAAGCATTTTGGATTGTAAACACTTTAAGACAACAAAAGTTAAAGCATTGCTACGCGCATGCGTCACACTTCAGTCGTTTCCTTTACATATTTTGAAATGCTAACTTGATAGATGTTATAGCTGGGCAACTGAGGTTGGGTTTTAACAAAAGATTAAAGCGCTCGGAATAAAAGTGCCTTTCGACTAAATCTAGGCTAAAATTGTGACTTAAAAAGAAGGGGACAAAACCCAGTCAAGCTATAAAATGCCTTAAAGAGATACCCTAAATAAAACGGTACAAACCACAGTTTGGCCGCTTGTTATCTTTAATAAAGTTTGTGAAGAATTAAAAAGCATTCCACTAAGCTGTGTTGTGGCGAATCCACTTAGCCAAAAAAATGGATCGGACATCAATTGGAGAAACGATAGTCTTTATATAAGGCTTCAAAAGGGGGAATGTACAACAAATAAACTGCTCAACATCAGAGCAACATATAATGGCTTCCCAAAACTTTCTTTGCTAGCTAAAAACCCAGAGTAACTTTTGTCTACCACAAAGGATTCTGGGAAACGCAGTTTTCTAATGAAAATACCTGTTAAATAAATTAAATCTATAATTAACAGCTCTCACTAAACATGTGACTAACACTTAAATCACTTACAAAATAATCCAAATGCTGTTATCAAACAAACTGCACTAAAGTTACAACAAGCTGTCTTGTTAAAAGGCTGGAACTCACACAGGTCTGCAACCAAAACACTGCATAGGATTTTTCATTTTAGACTTTTACTCACTGAAACCGTGAAAAATCTCTAACTTCATGTTTTCTTGCAAAAATCATGTTTTTACTGTAATTAAGCGTACATTTTTCCCCTTTAAACTGAAAACCAGATCCGATAATTATTTCTTACGTTAATTTTATATTTCTAAGAGCGAGACTGAAGAGAAATACAGATAGAAATTGCCAGAAATTGAGGGGAGGGGACGGTAGGTTTGGCATAAAATTTAGTGTTAAATATATCACGAAGGAATCGGTTTTGTTCCTATGTTCAATTATAAGAAAAATTATGCATAGTTAATTGTAATAAAATATAGATTGAGACGAACTTTATGCATTGTTCAATTAAAAAAGTATATTTACTGCCGTGTCATTAAGTTAAAAAAAAATTAAACTTAATGTAAGATACCTTTTTCTTTCGTTTCTTAGAAAGACAACATTTGCACAGTTTTCATATAGCAAAATGTGAAATCTTACCTGCAGAAAGCGTGCTTTGCAGTCTTCAGAGCTCCACTTAAACGGCTACTCCGACTGTGGACTGAATGACGTCACATGCCCTGCAAAAGTTTGAGAGCTGCAGTGCAGGTGCGCGGGGGGAGGGTCACTGATGGAGGAGCAGAGAGAGCCAAAGTTTTCTCCTCAGCTCTGACTCTCAAACCTGATTTACAGGCTACAATATGTGAAATAAAGGAATCCTGACATTTATTTTAACTACAGTTTAGTACACATTATGAAATCACAAAATAAAATTTATCTAAAGTAAGATTTAGTTTTACAGTCTAATTAAACTTTATATATATCAGTAGTGGAAAGAGCCATTACCATATTATTTATTTATTTTACACACACACTAAACAGCTATATTAGGTACACTTTGCTAGTCCTGGTTTGGACTCTCTTTTGCCTTCAGACCTGCCAAAGTGCTGGAAACATTTACCTGCCCCTCCCCCACTGCAGCAGCTATGGGGGAGGTGCAGGGCATCAGTTAAGTTGGGAGCAGAGTGAGCTACAATTCTCTGCTCAGCTCTCACTCAGGCTCAGGCTTAGTGTACTGGCCAGAACACATGAAACAAAGGAACCCTGACATGTTTTACTACAATTTAGTACACATTATAAAAGCACATACCAAGATTTATCTAAAGTAAGATTTAACTTTACAGCCTAATTTTACTTTATATACATCAGTAGTGGAAAAGTACTTAGTATTTATCTAAAAGTATTATTACCATAGGGAAAAGAAATACATATATATACACACAGTGGACTCATTGCGAGCCCTTCAGGAGGCGAAATGATGCAATTTAATGCAAAATACGTATTTCATCTGCTATGATGGGAAAGCCAGATATTTCATAGATGAAACTTTGAAATATCTGGCTTTTGATGATGATCAAACATTATTTTTTCTGCATATAGGGGAGAAGCAGGTTAGGAGTCGAAGAGAAGGACAGGCAGGAGCGTGGAGGTACTATGACTGGCAAAGGGAGAGAGCTGGCTGATATGACTGGAGAGAAGGAAGGTAGATTTACTGTGTGTGCAGGAGACCAGGTTGAAGGTTGGATGTCAGTTAGAAGAGAAAGAGGAATTCTGCAGTTAGTTTGATAAAGTGGTAGAGAGTGTTGATTGGAGCAGACTTCAGTAGCCATGTAGGTGAAGGAAAGAGAGATAATGAGGTGTTAGATAGGTATAGTGTTAAGCAGAGAAATGCACAAGGTCAAAATTAGGAAGATGGAAATGGCTGGGGTGAACTCATACTTCAAGAAGAAGGAGGAACAGAAGGTGACGTAGAAGAGTGGAAGAAAGTGTACACAGGTGGCTTACATCCTAAACAGAAGGGTCAGTCTGAAAGAGATAGGAGACTGCAAGGTGGTGTCAGGAGAGAATGTAGCCATGCAGCATTGGACACTAGTCTATAGGATGACTTTGGACGTCAAGAAGAGGAAGAGAATGAAGGCAGAGACAAGAACTAAATGGTGGAAGCTGAAGAAGGAAGAATGTTGTGCAGTTGTTAGTTCAGGGAGGAGTAGACATTCTCTGGGTGGAAGGGAAGTGTTACCAGATGACTGGAAAAATACAACTGAAATGGTGAGAGAAAGGCAAAGAAGGTGTTTGGTGTATCTTTTGGAGAGAGAAAGAGGACAAGGAGACTTGGTGGTGGATTGGACACTTTCCTGTAGTTCCTCAAAGGAATAGCTAAGAGAAAGTGCGATAGTCAGGGGAGATGGATAAAAGTAGACAGGAATACTGGGAGGCCAGGCCAACTGCAAAGATAGAGGTGGCAAAGGAAAAAGCTTATACTGAGTTGTACGTGAGGCTGGGTACTAAGGAAGGAGAACAGTACTTGCATGAATTAGCTATACAGAGATTGAGCTGAAAAGGATGTGCAGCAGGTTAGAGTGATTAAGGATAAAGATGGTGAAGAGAGTGTGTTGAGAAGATGGAAGATAGAAGTATTCTCTCACTGTCTTCATTAATGAAGACATTAATAAAGACAGAAACTGAGGACAGATGGAGGAAAGTTAGTGAATCAGGAAGCGCAGGGGATAAGTAAGGAGGAAGTGAAGGCAGCTATGAAGAGAGGAAAGGCAGTTGGTCCACATGACATATCTGTGGTGGTATAGAGATGTTGAGGAGAGAGGACTTTTTTTTTTTTTTTTTGCCTGTCCCGTTTGGCTCTTTTGCCATCAGAATTATTGTCTAAAGGCAAAGAAAGATGCCCAACGGATTTACTTTACCAAATTGACCATCCCAGCCTTGCCGTAATGGTCCATTTGATTCACCTTTTATTGTTTATTTTATTTTCACTTGTTGAATACGGGACAGACTTGACTGGGGGAAAGAAGGGGAGAAAGAAAGAGAAAGAGCTGAGAAGAGGGATAGGGGAGAAGGGCAAAAAACAAAAACCAACAGAATGGGCAGAAAAAGAAAAAAAAATGCATCTATCGATCACCTGGATCACCTGTTGAGAAAGAAAAAAGAAAACAAGCAGAAGAGAACAAGAGTAATAGAATAAACAACATCACAATGATATATGGGAATATGACAGTAAATACTAAATATTAAACATTATTGTGCAGCACATAGGATCAACAGAACACAGTGTGCTTTGAGGTAGGAGCCAAAAAGGGTGTAGTTTGTGGGTGTGATCACCCGTGTGTACACCTGTGAGCATGGACGCGCTTCCATCCATCCATCTTCATCCGCTTTATCCGGAGCCGGGTCGCGGGGGCAGCAGCCTAAGCAAAGAGGCCCAGACCTCCCTCTCCCCAGCCACCTCCTCCAGCTTATCCGGGGAACACCAAGGCGTTCCCAGGCCAGCCGAGAGATATAATCTCTCCAGCGTGTCATGGGTCTGCCCCGGGGCCTCCTCCCGGTGGGACATGCCTGGAACACCTCACCCAGGAGGCGCCCAGGGGGCATCCTTGTCAGATGCCCGAACCACCTCAGCTGGCTCCTTTCCATGTGGAGCAGCAGCTGCTCTACTCTGAGCCCCTCCCGGATGGCCGAACTTCTCACCCTATCTCTAAGGGAGAGGCCAGCCACCCTTCGGAGGAAGCTCATTTCTGCCGCTTGTATCCGCGATCTCGTTCTTTCGGTCACTACCCACAGCTCGTGGCCATAGGTGAGGGTAGGGACGTAGATTGACCGGTAAATGGACGCGCTTGTTTTTTAAAAGGTTCCTTCATGTAATGATCTGCTAGAGGGTGTGGGGGGGCCACAGCCCCGTCCTCCAGGGCATGAAGCAGGTATGGAGGAGATCAAAACTCCAGACATCCAGAGGCCCCCAGAACACAAGAGACCAAGGAAGACCAACAGAGGGGCAGCCGCGCCACTGTCCCAGTAAGAGCTGAGGAGAGTCCCAGATGAGGGCTCACTCAGCAGCCGCGGAGCAGAAGCCAGGGGAGTTGCAGTGACGCGCCCGTGAGCTCCGCCGGCAGCCAGCTGTGCCTGAGTGACCGAGCCCCAGGCTGAGAGGCCGGGGGCACCCCACCTCCGAAGTGGCCCGAGCGAGCCCCAGGATCCAGGCCCCGATAAGCGGCCGCCAAGGAGTGAGCCGGTGTGTACCTGGACGCCCATCCCCTCATCCTCTCATATGCACTTCACACTCAACCAACGTGGAGACAGACATAAAGAGACGCTGTACACACGATCACACTCCCCAAGCGTACTCAACGAACCGGGTCTAGGTACCCTTGCCCCTGGAGGGGGGAACTGCACCCAGACCCAGGTGGTGTTACCCTTTTCCCTGCGGTGGGGAGAGGCAGACCGCCCCGACTCCGCAGCAGCAGGGAGGCCCCACACTCCAGATGGCCAACTCCTCCTCCTAGCCCCCCCGCTCCAGCAGGCCGCAGATAATGGGGGTGAGAGAAGACTCCAAACCTCCTTCCACCCGCTTATTGTAGTGTTGATGCATGTGTGTTCTAAGGTGCATTTAAAACCCAGGAGGGCATGGAGCTACCTGCCAGAGAGCAGCAGGTAAGCGCATAGTCCCTCCTGCTAGCCCTCAATGTCTACGTGTATTTAAAATTGAGAGGTGGGCAACCACGCGAGGGGTGAGGTGTACACCCTGATGGTAATTTGGATTCCGTGTATCGTGCCCACTCCCAGAGAGGACTTTTTAACCAGATTGTTTAACACAAGTTTGGAGAGTGAGGAATGAATAAGTGTACTGATACCAGTTTTCAAGACCAAGGGTGATATGCAGAGCTGTAGTAACTACAGAGCGATAAAGCTGAGACACACCAAGAAAGAGTTGTTGAAGCTAGGTTAAGAAGAGAGGTGATGATCCATGAGCAGCAGCATGGCTTCTCACTGAAAAAGAGCAGTGCAGATGTGATGTTTGCTTTGAGTGTGTTGATGCAGAAGTATAGTGAAGGTCAGAAAGAGTTGCACTGTGTCTTTGTGGATCTGGCAAAAGAATATGATGGGATGCTAAGAGAGGAACTGTGGTACTGCATGAGGTAAGTCTGGATGTGAGGGTGGTGCAGGATGTGTTCAAGGTGAGGGTGGGATTACATCAGGGATCTGGAGTCAGGAGGAGGGACAGGAAACAGAAATGAGTATACAAGAAGGACAGCTCATGCTGAATGGTATGGAGAGAAAGTTAGAGACAAGGCTGAGATGATTCAGACATATGCAGAAGAGGGATAGAGGAAATACTGGACAAAGGAGGGAGAAAACAGCATGACCTCAGAGATGACCTCAGAGGTCAACACCAGAGCCTCTGGTGTTGTGACCCCTAAAGAGAGCATTTCTCTCTCATATATATATATATATATATATATATATATATATATATATATATATATATATATATGTATATATATATATATATATATATATATGTATATATGTGTATATATATATATATATATATATATATATATATATATGTGTGTGTAAATGAATGATGGATCAGGTGATCACATAACATGTAATGTGATCACCTGATCCACCATAGAGATCATAGAGGTCCTCTTTTGGATTGAGATCTGGTGACTGTAGAGGCCATTTGAGTACAGTGAACTGAACTGTTATGTTTAAGAGTGCAATTTGACATCATTTGAGCTTCTTGACACTGGTTATTATCCTCCTGGAAGCAGCCATAATGAGATGGGCACTTCTGATGGATGGGACATATTTAATTTTTATAAAGTATTACAGAACACATGAGTCAATATTATATTGCATTACAGATTATATATTAATGGTAGATTTTCACTAATAGAAGCTTACAGTAGAGGAACCAGGTTTTAATATAAAAGGGAACACCGCAATATATGTATCCTTTGTACGGAAGCCCATGCTTTAATATAATCTATCAAAATTCACCAGTATGATTTATAATAGTTTGAAAAATACTTGAAACAAAACTACAGTTTCTTGCACATTGTCTATATTTATGTTATGTAGACACAATTTGTAGCTCACTACTAAAGCAGGGTCAAGGTGGTTTTTCAGATTCAGTCTCCTATTTGTGGAGATATTTTGGTAAAATATGCTGGTAACACTAAATCGAAAGCAGCCCCTCAAGACGTTAAATGATTTTTTTTTTTAACTGAATGGTCTAAAAAAGTTACTTATATGCCATTTCTATAGCAGAGATAAAAGTATGGTTTAAAAAGAGACGCCTAAAATGAGAACCAGAAGGCAGAAATGATGAGCTGCATTAATAATTTCTAAACCTGTCTCACATTAACTGATCAAACCCATGTTAACTAGCACACTGTTTAGTTTAAATTGAAAATCCAGTCGTAATTTTTCAGGAACTGAAGCACTGTCTCATAGCCCAGTTTAGGCCAGTCCATATTCAATATTTCTATTTCAGCATTTAATTTCAAAAATTGTATTGGTGTGCTTTCCAATTTGGGTAGACCAAGACCAGATATTAAAAGTAAGACATAATAATATGTTTAACTTACCTTGTAGGGTCTTTACCCTAAAGTATAAAGTGCCCTCAGGTGACCTTTGTTGTGCTTTGGTGCTATATAAATAAAATTGAATTGAACTTCAAGGCGATAGAGCACTATTTATTTCTCCTTCATTAGATAAACTGTCATTATCTTCATTTGTAGTGAATGGGCAAAGACAGTAGTTGGCAGTAGAGTGCAAAAAAGTTCTTGGGTGCAGTGACTGTCCAAAAGCAGTAGGGGCAGTAGAGAGCAAAAAGTACTTGGGTGCAGTGACTATCCACAACCATAAGGGGCAGAAGGGCAGTAGAGAGCAAAAAGGCTCAGGAGCAGTGATTTTTCATAACCACTAGTAGCCAGTAGAGAGCAAAAGTGTGTGTATGAAAAGAATAGCAGTGTGTATAGAAGTGTGTATTTTTTCTCGTATTTCTATCTTTCTGAGGACCTCGCTCAAACTTTGAGAGAAGCATAAAAATGGCCTCTAGAAGCCATTACAGTGAAAAACAAGTGAGGACCATATTAAATGTCCTCACTTTCCCAAAAGGTCCTCACTCGTAAGGTCTAAAACCCGCGATGGTCCTCGCAAGTATAGCAGAACAAGCACACTCACACACACAGACACACACTCACACACACAGACACACACACACACACACACACACACACACACACACTCACACTCACACACACACTCACACACACAGACACGACGCTGCGTGACCTGGTCCCTGCTCGTCTGCAGGACCAGCTCACAGTAGGTGCTGACTGTCCTTATTGCAGACAAGCAGCTGAACTATGTGAGGTTAACAGCAGCAGTGCAGACTAAACTACAGGCACACGGCCTGACTGAATAGAAGAAGCAGTGAATGATGTTTGTGGCGCCAGCCGCTGTGAGCAGATACTCAGCATCATGTGACTGTGTTTGAGCACTACTCGACTTTCCCTTTGTCAGGTTTCTCTGCCTTAGTCTTCTTTCTCTTTTCAGCTGCAGACTCTTTGCCTGCCTCCTCCCGTTCTTTCTTTCCCTGCCCCTCCTCCTTTTTCTCAGGCTTCTCGTCTTTTTCCGCTCCTTTCTTTATCCTCTTCTCCCCTCCCTCCTCCTCATCTGTCCCTTTTGCTTTTTCTTTTCGTAGCTTCTCCAGAGCCCTCTCCATCTCTTCTTTCTCCAGCCTGTCCTCCTCCTCCTTCAGCCTCATAGCCACCCTCTCCTTCACCCTGGCTGACATCTCCTTCCTCCCCATCTCGAGCTCCTTCTCCTGCTCCTCTTTGGCTAGGAGCTCTCGGACTTCAGCCAGAGCCAGTTTGGCGAGCTTCTTGGCCTCCATGCGTTCATGGATGATGGCGACCTGCTGCTTTAGAGCCTCTCGGAGCTTCAAGCCCACATTCTTTGGAGAGCTTTCTGGAGTAGATGATGGTGATAGTCATTAAAAACTCATTACAGGAAGAGCCATGCTCAGACTCACTCTGTTATCAGAGGTCACCACACAGCAGGCCAGCACGAGCATGGCATTAGGAACATCTGTCTCAGGCACGCCGCCTCTCATGCTCCCCTCTGAGGAACGAGCAGTATTATATTCTTTGTTAATATTCAGATGAAAACAGGAACTCGAGCAGCTTCTTACAGATGCATTACCACAGGCTAGCTTTGATAATCGAGCACCAACGTATCAACACGTATCTGCAGGATTTTAGTTTGTTAATCCAATAAACACATGCTCTAATGACCACAAACAGCTGAGTAGCTCAAATTTCATTGATCAGTCTGACCCACACTGCAACACAGCACAGCTTCATGCATGCAGCTGCACATCGATACCTTTCTTAGCTCCTCCCCCAGGCGCACATCCAGGTTTTTCATCTGATGTTACACACAAACAAGATCAAAGTCATGGTGCTGCAATGCTTTTAATTGTAACAGTTTAAGTTGGACCTACAGCGTTTGCACTTTACGGACCGTTTGAAACGATCCACAGCCCACCAAAGCTGCTTGAAGCACACCTGACCTCACCTGCCTTGGAATTATGCTAGACATCAAAAATAGATTCAACTTTATCTCACTGTAATCAGTGCTGAGTGTGAATTCACAGCCATGCTATAACAGCAACACTTTCATGTGCAGCACAGGGAAGACAAACAGGTGTAGTGAGGACCAGTCTGAATCTGTTCACCTGCGGTATCAGTGTGAGACTTCTGCATGGCGTCTACAGCTCCTGCCTGCCCTGCAGGGTGACAGCGATACCAAGTGTCCGAAAAGACCGACACAAACATCACAACAACCCTCCAAGTAAGGACAACATAACAAACACTGACGAGACATTCAAAGCATGGAGCAAGAGACAACATTAGCAAGCTAAGCTAACCTTAGCCAGTTATCCACAACACTGAGCATGAACCAGTTTATTAACATTAGCTAGTGAGCTCACGTCTACAGACTACAGGACCACCAAACCCTCCCCCGCATCCTCTGATGTCTCCTTCCTCAACGAGCTCAACAACTTTTATGCTCGTTTTGAGCGAGGGAACCCCACAACCACAACCAAAGCAGACATGACGCCAGACCACCAACCTCTGACTCTCTCCCCCACCGATGTAGGAGCGGTGCTGAGCAGGATCAAGGTTGCAGGCCCTGATGGCATCCCCGGGCGTGTTCTCAGAGCGTGTTCTGGGGAGCTTGCAGGAGTGCTCACAGACATATTCAATCTGTCCTTGGCCCACGCTGTGGTACCGGCCTGCTTCAAATCCACCTCCATTGTCCCGATACCCAAAAACTCCAACCCATCTACCTCAATGACTACCGCCCAGTAGCACTCACCCCCATCATCACTAAGTGCTTTGAGCAGCTGGTCCTAGCACACTTCAAATCCTGTCTCCCCCCCACCCTGGACCCCCACCAATTCGCATACCGCCAGAACAGGAGCACAGAGGATGCAGTCTCCATCGCACTGGACTCTGTCCTCTCACACCTGGACAACAACAACACCTACGCCAGAATGCTGTTTATAGACTTCAGTTCAGCATTCAATACAATCCACCCCTCACAACTCATCAGGAAACTGACAGACCTGGGTATCAGTTCCCTCATCTGCAAATGGTTACTGGACTTCCTGACCAACCGCCCCCAACATGTCCGGCTGGATAACCGCTGCTCATCTACCATCACAATGAACTCCTGTGCACCACAAGGCTGTGTGATGAGCCCTTTCCTCTACATGTGCAATGACAATAAAGTTGAATTCTACTTCATTCCCAGAGTGGACTCCAGGATAAGTCTGGCAACGTAACAGACGGACAGCTAAAGCTAGAAACACACTGACCATCTATGAGCTAAGTTACTACTAGCCAACTAAATGTGCCCTGCTTGCTAACATTATTGCTATCCAACAATCTGTCTGGAGCTAGCTGATATGCTCCATGATAGTAACTTGTGTATGATGTCTAACAGTACTGATGTTAGCCAAAAAGAAAGGATGTTTAACCAACATTAGCATCTACAGCATTGACCACAGGCCAGTTCTGATAGCTGACAGTGATATACTGAGTCTATTCTGAGGTAAACACTGGAGCAGGAGTGAATACTTAGTGGCCCAGTAAGCACAGAGGGAGTGAACTGGTCAGAGTGGACATGTTTCAGTGATACAAAGACTGAACTCACAGGTCACTGTTAGGCAGTGTAAGAACAACAGCTGACAAAAGAACCTGTAGTAGTTTTTAATCGATTCCTGCTGCTGCCCAGACTGACTCACAATCTACGGTCTGAAAATCACCCAACAGCACAGAAAAAGGAAGTATTGGAAGTAAACTTCCTGTTACTGATTATTTTGTTTGGGTACCTGAAGTTGTAAATGCACTGACATCTGCACAAAGTCACGTATCACACAGAGGATTACTGACTATATTCTGACCGTTAGGCTGCACGAGGGAGCAGGAACAGTCTGGTTTCCAAGTTCACTCGTTACAGCAGCGGTGGACACTTTCTGTCAGAGACCAGGCCGACTCGGACGCATCAAGCAAAGGGCTGGACACCAAATAACACGATTGCTGAAATCCATGAATTGATAAATTCATTCAAACATAGAATTTGTACATATATATATGTTCTAATTCATGAATAAGAATTAAACTCCACTTTCCTGTTCTGACCTGAGTGAGACAGCTGTAGCTCGTCACCTTATTTCCAACATCACTGGAACAAAGCTCAGCTCATATTTATTACTTATGAACTTATTCTGCACACACAGTGTTTATAATTAACTTAGGTGGGCTAATATATTGCTGACTGCTAAGAACATTTTATAATTTATTATTTTTAACTATTCCACACTTTTATTTTGAAAATTCAGAAACTGTTGAGCTACAAAAAGCACTCCAGGTGTGAGCTGAAGCTCCACATTAGTCATCTTCAGCATGTTGGTGGACACACGGCGATGGGTCCAGGCCCGGCGGCTAACAGCAAAGAGGTGAGACGCTACCTGCTCTGCACTCGCGTCTGGGTCACAGACGGTTTTTGTGCTTTGACAGCATTGAGGATGTGAGTCGGTCTCACATGCCAAAGTTGAAGTGTGTCCCCCTCGGAGCAGGAAGAGCCTGTTTCATTCATCATGTTCAGTGCAGGCGCGTTAACACACTTACACACACATGCACGAGTCGATACAGCAAATGTGGGTTTCACATCTCGAAGCTTGTGGCTGATATTAGTCGATTCAGCTGCAAACAAACACGTTTGCCTGCATTAGTCACACAAACTGTTACCTACAGCATGAACTTGCACATGTACACTGTCCCAACAAACGCTTTATTGGTGTCAACTCACAACTGCTGGTCGCTGAAACACTTTTCTTTATTATGGAGTAAAGGAGACGAGGAGGTGGACAGAACGAAATGTGACACTGCTGAGTGCAACAAGGGCTTAAAGACAAACATGGCAACCTACAGTTGGACAAAGGCAGTTTAACAAACACGTAACTACCAAAATGTTCTTATTAACATGTAACCTGCATACATGATGGAGTCAACAACATCCAGGGACGAGCCTCTTATTTCATGCACGTGTGTCTTTAATAAGTGTGAACTGTGTGGAGGCTTCATGAAGAAGAACTGCAGTCCGACCAAAGGCTGCATGGAGCTGCATGTTTCATGTTAGCTGAAGTTTGACATCTGCACAGATGTGTACCTGTTACACAGCTGGAGTACCTGCTGGAGGTAGCGCGTCCTTTAGTCCCACTAACCAATAGCACCAAGTGTGTTCTAGATCCAAATTCAAAGTTGGAATTTCCCAGTTTGATCTGGGAAATTCCCTCACTTGGATTTCCAGCTCGGAGCAGCCTGATCAGCTCCATCTATGAATGTGCTGAAGTGATGCTGTGATACTGAGCTGTACTGCTAGCAGGGCCCACCTGAAGCTAGCTCACTTGCACCCAAAGGTGTATGAAACCTGATGGGTGTGTGCCCAATGTTACAGAAACATAATCATTAATAAGGTGATGAGTGCTGGTGGTGGCTGCACAGAGAACGTGGGTGCGACGATATCTGACAGCTACAGTCAGGACGCCACGAAGACGCAGTCAGCAAACGTAGGACGATGAGGCTGTGGCTTGAGATCACCTGATGGACTCTTCCTGCACTTCCTGACTCCCATTAACATGGTTATGTGTTGAGCAGGTCCAAAACCATAACGAGGGCGATTGTTGGTTTAATTCATGCCGTTTAAATTAAACCAGTGACTGTTAGACCATGTGAGGGACACGTGAGCCGCTGTCCGAGTGCATTTTGTGTAATCTCACACAGCCATTGGCTGCTGCCAACAGTGCTGTGCACTCAGTGTACTCGCCCACTTCTAAAAGTGCTCCTGAGTATCCAGAACAACAGAAAGAGTTTCTCCTCAGTTTGAAACCAGAACTGAGTTTGTTCCGGTCACAGAGGATGAAACTTGGGTGTGGACACAGCCAGGCTGGAGACGAGGTGATCCAACGTTTCCTAGCTGTGTAAAATCTACCAAACATACTGACACCATGGCTCCGGCTCCTGCATGGGCCCTCAGATCACAGATCAACACATTTATCAGGAATCCGAGGCTATTGGTTATGGAGGCCAACAATCACAATCTTCTGCCCCTGATTTCCATCGTCTTTCGCTTGTCGTCTTCCTCTGACCGCTTCCTCGTTCTCATCCTCCTCATCCTCTTCCTGCACATCCTTTGCTCTTCCTGAGGCAGTGTGTTCACCCTCCTCTTCCTCCAGCGGCTCCAGCGGATTTATCAGTCCATACAGGAACGTGAAGAACCCGTTTAACCAATCAGAGCCGCCCTCCTCCACTTCTTCTAACCAATCCAGAACCTGGGATTCACCCTGACCATCGCCCTCACTGGACAGGCCTACGCAAATGAGGGGGGGCGGGGAGGATGGGAGGAAAGTTGAGGAGCAAAACGTGGGAGTGAAGGAGAGAAAGGAAGTGGTGACAAAACTAAGAAAAAGGAGAGTGTGAAACCAAATGAAGGAAAAAGATGTGCAGGAGGAAAGAGAGGAAACAACAGGAGAAGGTCAGAGAAGTTTGCAGGTTAGACAGCAAGGGAATCAGACTTTATCAGCAAAGCCAGGCTGTCTGCACATGACTGCAGAACAACACGTCATCTACTGGTTTAGACGTGCACTCTTTAAAGATCAGAAACTCGTGCTGCATGCTCATCATGTGCAGATAGCCCAGAGGAGGAGAGGGAGCACTGACGCTGGCTTTCTGTGGGAAAGCTTCTCTAATGAAACAGCTTCAGCTTTGGAACCAGAGTTGTCACAGTGCTGCATCTCCAACAGCAACACAATAACCTGAGACATGTCGACAACTACAGGAAGTAATGAGAGCACTGAGCAGAGGTCATGTGGAGGCAGATGGCCCAGGACCACACACGCCCCCACACATCTGTCCAAGTATGAACAAGGCCATAAAAGCTTGTTCAGGCATGAATACCACATGTTTAAAATGTGTCGGGCTGTCCTCCTCGGCTTCTAATACTGTATACATGTGTACTAATGAGAGAGCCTGCACACAGCAGGGTGAGACCTGGGAAGCCTTTACCACAATCACCCTCATTTAGGGTTAGACAGCATGTAGCCACAAACAAAGGCAACCACAGTTTCTGACACCAGTCAAGTCTTACGTGCATTTGGTGTCCTGGTGTCAGATTTCTGCTTTGGTGCAAATGAACAGATCTACTGTGGCTTTAATGTGATCCTTAGGATGATGACCCGGGGTCAGGGTTCATGTGAAGTCCAATGATCACTGATGACTCTGAGGGGGCCGATCTGACACATGGAGGATTTATTTCCACACAGATAAAAGGGGGATAAAACATCCCCATGAAGAAGAAGGATGGTCATCGTCAAGGTTCTGGTAGTTTTAACAGCTTCAGATGAAGACAAGTGAACCTGGAGATGTTCCCTTCTTATCCGAGAGACTCGTTCAGTTCTAAAACCAACAGTGGGAGCCCCCGGTGGGTAGTGGGCGTCGTCCCTCAGCAGCTTCTCATTGACCCACCATTCGTCATGTGCCTCATCACATGAGCCAAGATGTGGAAAAAGGTTTGGTCATTACATCCAGAGGCTTTGGGCGAAACCACTGTGAGACCTCGCCCCATCCTGTCACGTGACCTGCTGAGATCACCTGACCAAGATGTGAGTGAGGGCTGAGGCTGCAGTGCAGGCGGCAGACAGTCGCTGTGATAAACCACAACCACGGTCGGTCACAGTGGACACAGATGTTCTCTTTTACTGTCAATCTGTGAACACTGGCATCCTCCAAAGAGTGACCTTTGACCTTTAGGTGCACATGTACAGCCGAGTCTCGTCATGTCGAGGTGGCTCCAGTGCATTGATGCAGCGGCTCCGTTGCATTGATGCAGTGGCTCCAGTGCATTGATGCAGTGGCTCCAGTGCATTGATGCAGCGGCTCCAGTGCATTGATGCAGTGGCTCCAGTGCATTGATGCAGTGGCTCCAGTGCATTGATGCAGTGGCTCCGTTGCATTGATGCAGTGGATCCAGTGCATTGATGCAGCGGATCCAGTGCATTGATGCAGCGGCTCCGTTGCATTGATGCAGCGGCTCCAGTGCATTGATGCAGTGGATCCAGTGCATTGATGCAGTGGCTCCATTGCAGAGGTCTGCGCACTCCTTGCTGCACTTCACAGCACACACTGTGTTGCTAGCTTGTGTTTGGGATGAACCAGGTTGTGTGTGAGTGCGTGGCTGGGTCTGAAGTGCGCTGGGATGCCGTGCTTGGAGAAGACTCTCCTGATCTTCTCTGATACACCTGCTACATCAGGATTGTTTGTCCTGCTGAGGCTCCCTAGTTGGTGTCTGACCTTCTTTACTCTGCACCTGTGCTGATTGGATGAAGCCCAACTGGGATAACTACATGTTTTTTAAACTTGTGTGTTTTCTGTCCCTCCTGCCCGCAAACACACACCACTACCACGTTCTCTTACATTTTCAAAATCCAGTGAACAAATTAGAACGTGTCTCAGAATAGTGGAAATGTGGATGGTGAAGGGGGCAACAGGGGAGATGCTCTGAAACTTAAATATGGGTTATCCCAATGTAGCGACGACAGAATACATTATGATTTCCAAAAGACTGGAGCGGGCACATAAGATGAAACAGCTTAGTTGCCTTACACCGTTTTCCTGCTCCAGAGGCCAAAGCAGCACTAAGACTCATCTAGTTCGTCTGCTGACATGATGAAAGTGCTGAAATCCCAAATTCCCTTCGAATATTATGCACCAGCTGCAAAATCTGCCAAGCTGCTCAGAGACCCAACAAAGGGACTCAGATAACCCTGAAGTGTCTACAGATGACTCCTGAAACAGACACATGCTGCCTGTGTCCAGGCTGAGCACCACAAAAGCTCCTTAAAGGAACCTGTTGCGTGAGCGAATAAAGAACAGTAACGCCCTCTTAGATACCCGACGGTGACGAGCCTCCATTCAGCCTCTACAAGCTGCCTGATTGGCCGAGCAGCTACCTTTTCATGTAGAGAGCTAAGCTTTAGACTGCATTAGCCAGTGTTTGAGGCCATTCAGATGTTCATGTTGGAATAAAAGCCAAACAGGGAGCTCTGAGTTCTTGTTTCTAATGAGTGAGCCATGCAAAAGAAACCCAAACTAGCATTTTGTCTACTTCACAAACACAAAGCCATCACAGCTGGTAAGCAGATGTTGTGATGATAATATTCCTTTTGTTGTAGTTGTGACAGAGACAACAGCTGTGAATCGTAGTTTGATCAACTTGCCTAGCAGAACTTTTGCGTCCTCGACATCGAAATCTCCGTCGCCGTCTGTGTCGTACGCCACCAGTTTACCTACAGCAGCAGCAAACACAGTTAGACACACTTAGACAAATTCTCATACGTGTACATTAAACATGTGCTTACTGTAATTATTCTAACTGTATATCATGATATAGAAATGACTTTAAAGGCAAATATATTAAAGTCAAACATGGGTGTAACAATGCTTCCTTTAGAGAAAGACAGTTTACCAACCACTGCTCCTACATGATGCCTGCGTTTCTAAGATCATACATGAACACTGCAGCTGGAGACCAGTGTGACCACACCAGTCACACCAGCTGAATCACACTCAGGAACCAACGCTGCAAGGCTGTGCACTCCTCCACCGACCACAGCCAACTTGTTGCTTACATATGTGTCCTTAGTGACCAAGGGTTAGGGACGAGCCTCCAGCCTGTGTGGCAGCTTGGCTGCCTTCACTCCACCTTTCTCTACAGCTGCTGAGTGCTACATGAAGCGTGTCACTGTACACAGAGGTGCCAGTTTAGGTCGACTATAAGGGCGTGTTGAACTGCATACGTAGTGTTTGTGGATGTGTGTAGCGCTGCAGATGTTCCTGCCAAACACTACACGACTCAGGGCTCTGCAAACAGTGTGTGTGACAACAGTCATTTTTGTTCACATATGCAGAATATACATTATGGGTTTTTACCTTGCAATGCTTCAGACAGGTTAATTTGTAAGCCCTTAGCCTTATCTGCATGCAAAACAAACAAATAATAAAACACACATAATGTAACAAAGACAGGGTTAAGAGATAAAACACAATCACATTTCATACACACAAGAATGGACCATTTATCATTAATGCAGGCGGCTGTGGTCAAAGACAGGCAGGCTGCAGCAGCTTCAGCCGTCCTCTACACGCGTGGCTCAGCAGGCAAAGTCTGCACCTAGCTTTAAGCTAACTTACAGAAATGCTGCTGTGTTAAATGCACCCATTACAAGCTTCATTTCATCTGACTGGCTTTAATGTGACTGGCAGGCTGTTCACCAAAGTATTTGGTTTAAAGTGTTGAGACAGCAGCAGACTGAGGCTCACTAGTAATAACTGCTGGTAACGACAGTTAGACTGGTTCTTATTGCAGGTGGAGGTTTACTTTAGGCGTAGTCTGTGGACAGATGACAACAAAAGCCAAACTGGTTACTGCCACACCTTCCCAGGAAGTTCCTCTAGGCGTGTGTGTGTGTGTGTGTGTGTGTGTGTGTGTGTGTGTGTGTGTGTATGTGTGTGTGTGGGGGGGGGGGGGGGGGGGGGGGGGGGGGTACCCACCAAGAACTCCCTGATAGTCAACCAGGTCAAAGTAGACCACAGCTACAGACGTCCAGACGCCCAGCAGGGCCAACACGATGAACCAGGTGAAGAAGCTGCTGCCACTGGAGTCGGCCTTCTTCCCATTCTTGTTAGACGGCTGGCTTTTAGCACCATCTGGAAAGACAACACACGTGATGTCAGGTTCAGCTGTGGCCCTCACAAACTTTTCCTTTACACACTCAGAACATTGAAATAGAAGTTGAAGTACATTGACCTTAATGCTACTTTAGAGTTACAAGTGTGACTAATGATGAGAGCGACGAAACAGCAGTGAACACAGCGAGGAGCTTGAAGTCCTCCTGTGTGTTTATGAAGCCCAACTGCACAGCGTGAACACACCTGCAGGACGAAGTGTTCAAAGAAATGTTGAGGACAGTCTGAGCTTTGGACGTACATCCATAAACTGCCCTCACTTTGAAACTCTGAGCATGCTTAATCCCAGGAAACACGCCCCCACAGGATGCCCACACTGGGCGCCGCACGGCCCCCCACACTGGGCGCCGCCGGGCCCCCACACTGCGGGCTGCTGTGGAGCGTGAACCAGAATGTTGCTTAAAAAAAGAAAGGGGGGGGAAAAAAAAGCAGATTTTAGCTCCACCCTTATTTCCAGGAGGTCACCACATAGTTCAGGTGTTTGGACACCATGCCCTTTCACCCCTCCCACCACTGTGTGTCCACTCAGAGGAAACAAACAGCAGATCTGACCCTTCAAAGAAAGCTTGTGTGAGTGGATCAGGGCCTGATTCTGCTGCTCTGCAGTAAATCGATCAGATTCAGAGTTCTTCTCTCTTCCTGAGGCTGTGAATCACTCGCACCCTCAGATTTCTGACGGTGCATTTTCCACAGCAGTCACATTTCCCTGGTGTAAATAATCTGAAATCATTTGAGGACATTACTGTGCCAGTGCCGTGTATGTGGTGCTGGGACAGTAGAGTGTAGCCAAGGATCTATTCTTGGAGTGACAAAGACACGCTCGCTGTGAGAACATGGTGGCAGAGAGAACGAACAGGTGCTAAAGTCCGCTACATGCTAGGTCAAACCTCCTTCCTCTGCACACCTGAAACATGCCAGGTCCCCAACTCATCCAACCTGTGCTGTGACATCATCTTTTCCTCTGCAGACGTTTGTGTGTTTCTGGATGAATCCATACGTGGGCATGATTGCAGCTGGGAGTGTAAATCTAACTCACAGCAGGCAGCAGCAGCAAAGGCGTGACTACGTGTTAGAAGAAGCTCTCACTCAGTCACACATCTGGATCACAGCATCGTAACACACCTGGATGTTAAACCTGGACACTGACTGAACACTCGCTCCTCCAGCAGGTATTAAATACTCGTCCACCCAGGCCATGCTGCTTGGTATTCGATAGCCTCACCTTGGTTTTCTGCAGCTAGCACTGCGGGCACTGCTGTAACACCAGGAGAGGCGGCAGACTCCAGGGTCACTGGATCACCCATCTATGGCGTATGGTGGACCAACAGGAGGTTAACCGGCCAAAAAGAAGCGTGCAGCCCAGCGACGGCGAATATCAGCTCAGCCGCTCCCTCTATGTGGCCCCGCCCTCTCTCTCTGTTTACTGGCTTTCTTTCTGTTGCTCATCCAGCGTCATCATGCGTGCCATTCTTCTCTCTGAGACGATATGGCTTCTAGAGGTCATACACAGCTATTAATAGTGCTGTTAAACCAGCTGGCCCTCGCACAGAGAGGGGAGGACATTATTTAAACGCTCCCTGCCTGATATTGTGAACTTTAAAATCCTCCATGTTTACTTTGCAGGGTGCACCTGCCGACTGCACCTTCAGTATTCTTACAGCAGCAGTAAAACAAGGTCCTGGAAGGATGTCAGAGCAGACAGCTGCAACATGTCACACACATAACAAACACGTAACTACATGAAGAGACATTTGTGCCACTGCATGTAACTGGGAACAAACCACTTCACCAATCACGGGCTTGTTGGTTAAAATGAGATGAAACTCCAACCATCAGCATGGACTCAGATCAAACATCTCTGCCATGAACTGAGGGGGTTCCAGACGCTACAGATGAACACAGCGTGCAGCACCATCAGTCACGGTCAATCATCAGGAGGCTTGTTTTTCTCATAAACTGGTTTCAGTTGGTTTGTGCTACTGTAACATGTCCAAATAAAGCCCCACCAAATACTAACTTTGCTTTTTTATGTCTGAGAACTTAAACATTGACAAATTCAAACTATAATGGATCCAAACTTGGTGTGGCCTCCACAACAGTCCCAGTTTGCTGAGCTAGAGCCAAGGTAAAGACACACCGTGTTGTGAGCAGCGTCTATCAGGGAGGGTTACATTTGTCAAAGGTTTCAACAATCATCAGGCTGTTGATTAAAAAGCTTCATTCACTCTCGCACTCTCTCCCATAATGCATGTTTTGACCTGTCTCCCGTACTTGTCTTGTCCTCACCCACAGCTGGTGGCAGCACATTACAGCCCCTCCCTGAGCCTGGTTCTGCCTGAGCTTTCTCCGCTGTTGTCGTTGCTTCTTACAGGGATCGCCTGATTGTTGGAGGATATCCTTACACTACGACGGCCCAGGTCCCTACCACATGGTAAATGAAGTAGATCTTATGTTTAAATGGAAGCCCCATAAAGACTCCTTTATAAACTTTAGTGCACGTTTGTTAAGTTAATGAATATTTGTCTTTAACAATGAAGTCTACCAAAATAAAAGAATGTTGGGCTTTCTGTTTGTTTTTCACCAAGCAGGCATGCTGCATTGTGTCTTTGGAAAACACAGCCCTCTTCCCAGCTGCACAGTTAAGCTACGTCAGCAATTTATCAGATCGTTTCTCCACCCGAGGCAGGAGCAACCCCACATAACTTCACCGAGTGAGCCACAGGTGCCACTCTCACAGCCAACACAGGAAAAACGAGCTTTCACAAAGGCTTTGACACAAATGAAGTCCTGCTAACGTGCTGTTACATAACCGGCCTGTTTGAAGCTTAAAGTTAGTGCATGTACCAGCAATTACACACAAAACCTTAGAAACAAGAGCTCGGCAATATACTGCACATGAAAACTGGTTCAGGGCTGAGAAACTTTAAGCAGCCTCAGCAGAATGCAAATCATGAACAAAGAAATCCAAGAAATCCAGTGATTGTTGTATTTGGCAAATGTGTTGAAAACTGTCACGACACCGTGAGGTCCTTACCCAGTGACTGCAAGCAGAAAAGAACAGAACAGAATAGAATAGAATAGAACAGAACAAAAGAGAACAGAACAGAAGAGAACATAACAGAAGAGAACAAAACAAAACAAAACAAAACAGAAAAGAATATAAATGGAGAATAGAATATAACAGAATAGAATAGAACAGAATAGAATAGAACAGAATAGAATATAACAGAATAGAATAGAATATAACAGAAGAGAATAGAACAGAACAGAATAGAACAGAATATAACAGAAGAGAATAGAATATAACAGAATAGAATAGAACAGAACAAAATAGAACAGAATAGAATATAACAGAATAGAATAGAATATAACAGAAGAGAACAGAACAGAATAGAACAGAATAGAATATAACAGAATAGAATAGAACAGAAGAGAATAGAACAGAACAAAATAGAACAGAATAGAATAGAATATAACAGAAGAGAATAGAATAGAACAGAACAGAACAGAACAGAACAAAACAGAACAGAACAGAACAGAATACAATAGAACAGAACAGAACAAGACAGAAAATATAAATGAAGAGAATAGAATATAACAGAACAGAACAGAACAGAATAGAACAGAAGAGAATAGAACAGAACAAAACAGAATAGAAAAGAATATAAATGGAGAATAGAATATAACAGAATAGAACAGAATAGAATAGAATATAACAGAAGAGAATAGAATATAACAGAACAGAAAAGAACAGAACAGAATAGAATAGAATAGAACAGAACAAAACAGAAAAGAATATAAATGAAGAGAATAGAATATAACAGAATAGAATAGAACAGAACAAAATAGAACAGAATAGAATATAACAGAACAGAAGAGAATATAACAGAACAGAACATAACAGAAGAGAATAGAACAGAACAAAATAGAACAGAATAGAATATAACAGAAGAGAATAGAATATAACAGAATAGAATAGAACAGAATAGAATAGAACAGACTAGAATAGAATATAACAGAATAGAATATAACAGAACAGAACAAAACAAAACAAAACAGAAAAGAATATAAATGAAGAGAATAGAATATAACAGAATAGAATAGAACAGAACAAAATATAACAGAATAGAATAGAATAGAACAAAATAGAACAGAATAGAATAGAACAGAACAAAATAGAACAGAATAGAATAGAACAGAACAAAACAAAACAGAATAGAAAAGAATATAAATGAAGAGACTAGAATATAACAGAATAGAATAGAACAGAACAAAATAGAACAGAATAGAATAGAACAGAACAAAACAAAATAGAACAGAATAGAAAAGAATATAAATGAAGAGAATAGAATTTAATAGAATAGAACAGAACAAAATAGAACAGAATAGAATAGAATATAACAAGAGAATAGAACAGAACAGAACAGAACAGAATATAACAGAATAGAATAGAACAGAATAGAATAGAACAGGACAGAATTGAATAGAATATAACAGAATAGAGTAGAACAGAATATAACAGAAAAAAAACAGAATAGAACAGGAAGGAATTGAATAGAATATAACAGAATAGAATAGAATATAACAGAATATAACAGAACAAAACAAAACAGAATAGAACAGAACAGGACAGACCAAAGTAGAACAGAACAGAATAGACTAGAATATAACAGAACAGAATAGACTAGAATATAACAGAACAGAATAGAACAGAACAAAACAGAATAGAACAGAACAGAATAGAACAGAATAGAACAGAATAAAGTAGACTAGAATATAACAGAACAGAACAAAACAGAATAGAACAGAATAGAACAGAACAAAACAGAATAGAACAGAACAGAATAGAACAAAACAAAACAGAATAGAACAGAATGAACAGAATAGAATATAACAGAACAGAACCGAATAGAACAAAACAAAACAGAATAGAACAGAATAGAACAGGACAGAACAAAGCAGAATAGAATAGAACAGGACAGGACAGGACAAAGCAGAACAGAACAGAATAGAACAGAACAGGACAGAACAAAGCAGAATAGAATAGAATAGAACAGGACAGGACAGGACAGGACAGAACAGAACAGAACAGAATAGAACAGAACAGAATGAACAGAATAGAACAGAACAGAATGAACAGAATAGAACAGGACAGAACAAAGCAGAACAGAACAGAACAGAACAGAACACAATAGGACAGGACAGAATAGAATAGAACAGAATAGAACAGAACAGAACAAAACAAAGCAGAACAGAACCGAATAGAACAGAACAAAACAGAATAGAACAGGACAGAACAAAGCAGAATAGAATAGAACAGGACAGGACAGGACAAAGCAGAACAGAACAGAATGAACAGAACAGGACAGAACAAAGCAGAATAGAATAGAATAGAACAGGACAGGACAGGACAGGACAAAGCAGAACAGAACAGAACAGAATAGAACAGAACAGAATGAACAGAACAGAACAGAACAGAATGAACAGAATAGAACAGGACAGAACAAAGCAGAACAGAACAGAACAGAACAGAACACAATAGGACAGGACAGAATAGAATAGAACAGAATAGAATAGAACAGAACAAAACAAAGCAGAACAGAATAGAACAGAACAGAATAGAACAGGACAGAACAAAGCAGAACAGAACAGAATAGAATAGAACAGAACAGCCGTTTATTGTCACTGTGTTTTGTTTTCTGTAAGAAGCAGGTTCTAATGCTATATTCTGTACTGGTACAATTGCACAATAGCATTGCTACAAGCAGCTATGTGGCAACATTGTGAACACAGCGAGTATTTCCGGTTTCCACAGGCATGTTCTCCTCGTTGGAATTATTAAGACTTCCAACAGATGAAGGGAATGAGGGCTGACGACCATCCTTAGTCTTACTGACCCAACTGACACTGGATATGCAAACAGTGTGACAGAGACACACCTCTGTTTGCTCACTTGTGATGTTACTCTGTGATGCTGCCAAAACATGTTCAGTCCATTATGCCCACAAGACGGCAAATGAATAATATGAGACAAAACAATTACATAACTACATGTTACAAAATTAACATTAGAACATGTAAATAAACAAAGAACTGGCACTGGACGACCTCTGCAGAGCAGTTATTATCTGATCCTCAACATCAAACATTCATATGCACGTACCACCAGTCTGAGTCCACAGGCCCAGCCTTTGGAGCTACAGCAGCTTCAGTTTCTCTGAAAAGGCTTGAAGTGTGTTTATGGAGCTCTTAGCCACTCTAACAGAAGCACATCTGTCAGGTCAGATACCAAGTACACTAAGAACCAGCTCCCACAGTGTCTGGACCTTGGAATGGTCTCTATAAGCTGAAGCATTGAGAGGTCCTTCACTGGAACCAAGTATGAACTCCCAATCCCAGACTCAATGTGTTCTCAATCCAGAGAACAGCGTCCACTGATCTAGAACCCAGAGGACCTGTGCTGGCTGATATACGGCTTGGATGCAGGTG